TAAAAATTATACAGCTTTTAATGCATTTATGTCTCTTGCCCACTTCTGGATCATTTTAATGAAAACGTCAGGTCAAAGTAGATGAAAGATGTAAGGTTTTGTGTATCACTCGTCCACAATGAAAACGGAATCTTTGTGTTTTATGCCTTTTTTCAGCTTTCTTGGGCAATGCATGGCCAGTGTTTGCTTTTTATCTGTATGTCACTGGGAATTCCTCAAAAAGTTCTCGTGAAGGATTGTATCCCTAAGGACCACTTGAAAGTCTAAAATATCTGTTTTATTTTTACCATTATTTCTGGCATCTTTAAGGAATGGATGGGACATAATTTTCTTGCAGGAGTGATACAGCTAGGTCTCTTGATACTTGGAAGACTAAATTTGGAATTCACATGATGCTTTTTAGTACTCTTCCAGCCACAGTAGTAATTAACTTGGAATGGACACATGAGATCAGTTTTGACATAATGTGTATCTTTCTCTATAGCCTTGTAAACTGAGCTGTTTCTTTGGTGTACTTGAGAGAGTTTAGTCTAGATTTAAATGTCCATGACTGTATTTCGTAACTAGGAAATGTTCATGACGTTCAGTTTAAGACATTGTAGGGAAATCAGAGTAATGCTGTCTAAATCTTTCTTGTGTCTTTTATCTGCACATAACAAGCTTGCTTGTCTGTCCTGGTTCCACATTTCTTCTTTGCTTTAGTTCAAAATACAACTTCTTGGTTTTGTTCCCGTAACTCTATGACTAAAAACAGATAAATATTTCATCTCATGAAACTCTTTGCTAATATTTTTTTGATAATGAGACAGCCAGAATGAAGGTAACATTCTAAATAAATTTACAAATGCACCATTCCCCAACGCAATTGCATTATTGGGGTGATGATGGTTTTGATGGGGCTAAGTAAGGGATAGGACTAGGAGTTAATGGGATGTCAAAGTAAAAAGAGAAGGAAGAAATTTTTGAATTACAACACAATTTTTTTTTCAGAGTTGGGAAGTGAGGACTGGGCATTCTGCCTCTGTGCTAAGGATTGCTGCATTAGGTGACTGCTGTAGGTGCAGAGGAGGGGAGAATGCAGTTCTGTTGTTTACACAATATTTTTCTCATGTTCTCTTCTCTGCTTGACAGCTGCCAAGTCCAGTTAGGGATCACTCACAGCCATTCTACTTCTTGGTGACAGGCAGACAGCAAAATACAAATTCAGAGTTGGGGAATCTCTCTTCCCCTCTGGAAGATTTCCTGCTCTGTAGATGAGGAAGGATCTTTTTGTTCCCTGGCTGGGCTTCTCTTGCTGTCACTGTTAAGTTTTACATTGTTTGAGAAGATCTTTGTACCCCTACCTGAGTGAAGACATCTGAGCACTTTGATGCCATGTGCAGCTTTGTGAAAAATAAATCTTGTTCAGCAAGCCTGCCTTCTTCTGAGGAGATCACAGCATTCTTTGATAACAGAAACTGCGTTGATACTGTTGGATTTCTTCAAGCCATTTGATCTGTTATCAACGAGGTCTTAATTAAAAATGTGACAGCATAAGTAAGACTATCAGTTACCTTAAATTAAAAAGTCCCTCACTGTCAATTTGGAGACACATCAGTGAATGGGTCATTTTCAGTGCTGCTGCTGTCAAAATGGATGTCCGTGTGGTTAAAGTTTTCTCATGAGAATGAGGGCCTGCAGCCATGGGGCTTCTTCCAGATGTCTCAGAAGGGCTTTGGCCCCTTCTTGATCAGGTGCTTTGTAGGAGATGCCGCTTGCAGTGTCACCTGCTCCAGTGCAACTCTCAGCATTTGGGTGAAGCCTTACCTAGTGTGACAGCCTTCCAAGCTGTCATACTCTGCCATTCATAGACATTATCCCGTGGTACTTTTCATATTCCAGAAACAAAGTGTTGCAGCTGTTCCCTGGTTTCTGTTTCGGTTTGATAAGCCTTGCACATTTGTTTGCAGACACATGTGGTGGGGCCTCTGCATTGTGCTGCTTTTACAAGGAAATGGTGAGAGCATCTCCCATCCTGCTATTCTCTGCACATTGTCCTCACTGCCCCCACTTACAATTTTTCCATTCTTTTGTCACCATCAATAAATAATCCATGGAAATCAAGGATAAAGGTGCATAATTTAATATATTCTTCTTGATTTTTAAATTTTTGAAACATTTGCATTTTCACAATTGGAAAAAAAGGAACCCCTGACTTCTAGAAAGGCATTATCTCACTAATGTTAATAATAATCTATTCCAGTTATCCATATAATTCTAACCTAAGGTTTAACATACATGCTTCAAAACTCAGATGATGGGATACTGCTACTAGGGTTTCTTGGATTAGATGTAGGCCAGAACAGAGAATTCAGGTCTTGAAATACTCCCTATGCATTCATAGTTAGAACTTTTGTAGAAGAGCAGTGGCTTTAATGGAGCTATGAACTGTGAATAGTTAGGGCAAATTATGCAACAGGAAGGAATTAGGCAAATTCTTACCACATAAACACCAAGATAATTGGGGTTTGCTTACTTATGAAGAAGACTGGAAAGAATAGTTATTTAGTGCTGGCTGAAGTGTAAGAGTACCTTTATCTTTTTTGAGCTAAATTGTACCAGAAACAAAGAAAATTCTTCATTGCGATGCTGTATTTCTAGGGCTCCCCTTTAATTTTCCTATCAGTCTTGAGGGAAATTGTGAAAGAGTGTGTAATGGTAACATTATCATGCCTCCAAAAGATTATTCCAATTGTAGTGTGAGAGAGCAAAAGACTGTAAGAGCAGCCCAAACTAGCCTGGATGGACCTTTGATCTAGCCCAGTGTCCTGTCTTCACTGTGATCATATCACATACAGAAGAATACAAACACAGGCAGGTGCAGTTCTTCTCCCCTATATTCTTCCAAACTGCAGCCATTTGCAGTTCAAGGAATTATATGCAGTATTATCTTTGTTGTATTTATGCTTTCTTAACATCTTATGATTTTTAATATCCAGTTTTGTTATAGTTTCAAATACCCTTTCACTTTCATGTGGTAAGATGTCAAAGTGTGAAATAGAAATATTCATTGACGATTACTGCTGTTTCTACAAGCTTCTTAGAAATTTCATTACATCTGGGGTCCAGTATCCTGCAAACTAGCTGGAAAGCTATGACAGCTGTAGTATATTCTCAGTCTTGAGGGCTGTGTAGGCCAGCAACCTGCTTCATTGTGTGCCTAGGAGTTCATGAACTGAAGCTGTTCTTTTAGGTTCAGAATTTTTAATTGACTGCAGTACAGCATGATTAATTTCCTCTATGCAGAAGGAACTGAGGAATCTTGTCTTTTGTGTGTGACAGGATAAAAGCATTGGGGTATTTTGTTGGTCCAAGGATTTGTATTCTGTGTGGGGAGGGAGTATTGCCTGTCTTTGTTCTGCAAGCTGTATGGCAACTCCTTGATGTTTCCAGGGCAATGCTTGCTCTTTATGCTTCACTCTTAAAAATGTTCATGTTCTTTTATTATCTTGCTGATACTAAGACTTTGTGAAAGGATACAAGCAGTTAAAAATACAGAGGTTTAGCTAAAGCTGAACAGAGTTTTTGGCTCCATGTTTTTTGCTTCTCCAAAGTGTCAGTCCTGCTGTAAATAGTGTATCTCAAACAAACAAACAAACAAATGAGGTTGAAAGAAGCATTTATTTGATAGTATTGATCAGTCTAAATACAGGAGAGAAGAACTGTTCCTCTTCAGGATGGAGAAGAAAAGTATTAAGGGAAATGTACGAGCAGGATGAAGAAGGTGCCTAAGGAATGCCTTCCGACTGCTGCTCCAACTATGCAAGAAGATGGCATCAAATGAAGCTAACAGATGGCAGGTTCAAAATGAGCAAAAGGAGGTACTTCTTCACACATAGGTTCTAGAACACCATGCCTCAGGCTGTTGTAGGTACTAAAGGGCAACAACTTTCAAATGCTGTCAGAGACACAATGCTAGGATAGATGACAGTTGGGATGACCTTGTGCAATAGATCTTGTGTCCTTGCAGAACAGGGCGAACAGGTGTATGCGTGGTGTGTCTCACATAGGTGTTTGTGTCTTACATCAGATTAAAACTGTCGACTTCTGATTCTAAAGCAGAATGGGAATATGAACTACCTTTTAATTCCTATAGAAGTATTGTAAAAGTTAAATATTTTAGTTATATAGGTGAAAGCTAGAGTGAATGTTGTAGAAATAGGCAAGGCAGTCCAGTAGATTTATTATAATTAGTTAGAGTTCCTTTTTCTATGGTTTGCCTGCCTGACATACTCCCAGTTAAGAACAGACTCTTTAATGTAAGGGTGTACTTGCCCATTTCCAAGCTCAGATCATTAGGTCTTCCACTTCACTTCATATCACTTCCTCTGCTAACTTCTTTGGAAAAGTGGAAATAGAAATGGGGTTTGTTAATTGAACTAATGTAGTTTAACTAGTGTACTGAAATATCAGTAAATGTTGGCAAGATCCTAAGTTGACACCTTATAGCTGGTCATGTTGAAACCTTGATGTGAAGTTCAGTTTCATCTCAGCCAAGAAGATGTGTTGACTAAAGGGCAGTTTTTACTTATGATGGATAACATTTGTTTTCAGAAAATCAACACGAACATGCACCCTTTATTTTTAGTCTAGAAAGAACCAATACTTTTTTAGTTTAAACAGGACAAATTTACTGTGCTTTGCTTTGCTAAGAGCAGTGGCTCCCAGGCTGCCTGTAGCTAAACCTCAATTGAAAAAAAAAACAACCAAAGATCCATGATTCAAACCTTGTGGATTCAGTTGGGTCTTCCAGAATTCATTAGCTTTAGTTCTGTGCTCCAGCTTTACAGTCATATGCTTCTACTATGCTGCTGAGACCTGCCCCACTAATGGGGAACTACTTTAGGGGTAACTCCTTCTGAGCACATCTGTCTAAGGTCTGTGAAGGTGTTGGTATTACTGCTCTAGAACATAGTAGATTCTTGCTTCTAGTGCTTGGATATTCCTTGCTTCCTTCTCAGATCCGGGAGCTGGTTCCTGAGTCCCAAGCCTACATGGATCTGTTGGCCTTTGAACGCAAACTAGACCAGACCATTATGCGAAAGCGTGTGGATATTCAGGAAGCACTGAAGAGGCCAATGAAGGTATGTAATGAACACTTTATACATTAAGTTAGGGCGAAAAAAAAATCCTTGTATTAAATGGTGGAATGATCGTCCCAGTAAAAGTCCTGTTAACAGGTCAGACAAAGCTCCTAAGAATAAGCAGCTGGGGAGCAGCATGCATAGAAAAGTGGTGGGGAAAATCCTGTGGATATTACCAGCTCTGTCTTCTGAAAGGCTTTAATAAGGAGAATAATAGCTTCTGGATAAATAAACACTGGCTTTGGAACTTTTTATTAGAATGATTAAAAAGAAAGTAAGAGATTAGAGGGATGTGCTGAAGAGATATATTAAATTTCTTATTAGAACTCAGTCATAAACTAAACTTGTGTAATAATAAAACATATAATGGGAAGAATGACTTACAGGAAAATTATTAAAGATCCTGCAAAAATGTACACATTCACATAGTCTGTTAAAGGATGATTTATGTAAGAAAAGAATGGATGGCATTTTCTGCAATTTCTATTCGATTGAGCCCAGCACTTCACCATACATAATACCCTACTGAAATAGTCTTTTCCTAAGTTTTCTGAGTCTGTTAACTGAATCACGGAAAAGTTTAGGTAAGTGGAAACTGGAAGTCATCTAATTCAACCTCCTGCTCAAAACAGGGTTGTCAAGGCCTTGTGGGATTTTGAAAATCTCTACGGATGGAGGTTTCACAGCCTCTTCAGGCAACCTGTTCCAATGTTTGGCCACTTCCATTGTGAAGAATTTCTTTTCATTTCTGTGACTGTGAATGCTTATACTCATTCATATAGTAAGTCCTGTAGTATGAAAAGCTTTGTAGCTGCATGTCTGTTGTGAAGTAAAGCTGTCATTTTTGTGTGTACCAGAGTAATGGGTATCAGCCCAACCTAAGATCAAGATTCCATTCTGTTTGTCACTGTACAGGTATGTGATAAGATGTGGAAGGCTTTTACCGCTGATGTTTTTCAAGTTCATATATATGAAACAGAAAAAAAAATTGAAAGAATTAAGTTCCATTAACATATCTATTTATAGATAGGAAGTGAAGTGTGAATGCTTTAAATCACAAGTTTGTAGTAAAAAACTGTTGTATATAATAGATTGGACTGACTCTTGGAATAATTTGCCTTAGCTTCTTAATGTCTGTAAAACACCATCATTTTAAACTAGCTAGGAACTTGTCCATGTTTAAAAGTAATTGAAGACTTAGACTTGCATTCATAAGTCTGCAGGAAGATGCTTGTTCTGTGGCAAACTCTTTAACTAGGGAGTTGACCAGTACATGAGGTTCCAGCTCTGAATATCCAGTGATGTCCAGGGCCCTGTAATGGGGAAGAGTCAGGAGGCACAGCACTCTACAGAAACTATAGACAGAAAATTCCATTTCCATCTAGGGCTCAGCAGACATTTTAAATATCAGTTACTCAGCTAGTTAACATCTAAAGAATGATCAATCAGATGTTTTTCAAATTCATGTCTAGATTTAGCATGTAGCATCTGTGAAATTCAAGACCTCTCAAAAGAGAGCTAAGCCCAGATAATTTGAGGTTGTTACGATATTAAGTGTATTCATTTTATTATAGTTGGAGCATTAGTAACAGCAATAAGAGTTATCTCTACATTTCTACCTCCTATCAAAGCTTCTGTAATTTTGAAATATTTGCCTTAAAACAGTGGTTCCCAAGCTGGGATTGTAATCCTGGTAAAAATTTAAATTTGCCTGAGGCATATGATAATATGTAGGGAATATGCAGGACTGCTCCGAATTACCAGTTGTAATTGCATTTACCATATTGGTCACAGTGATTGCGTTGTAGCTAGAAACAGTCTTTGGCAACCACAAGTTTATGGTATAGTGTTGCTGACTTTTTTTCTCTGAAGACTAATTATTCTGGAGGAATTTTAGGGAAAATGTTTCAAACGCTTTTGGTTGAGAACAGTGTATAACATTTGTTTGGCCTTTTGATCCTACTTGGACATTCTGTGAACAGTTGCTCTCTTGAAACAGAGATGACAGCTGTGGGGTTGCTCAGAAAGCAAGGAGACTTAGGGATTGTGAGGTTGGTTGAAGGTGCGGAAATGGCTTTTACCACCTGCCAGCTCACTTTACCACTGTTAGCAACCCTTCTCAGCTCCCAGCTTATTCACTCCAGATGCTGCCTTGTCTTTTCTCTGCCTTTAGGTACTAGCATGTTCTCTTCTGTCAGTCCTGTGTGCTTGGGCTACATTCTCATCTGCAGAGTGGTATTTGCTGCATGCCACTCATTGCGAGTCCTTGCACTGACCTTATGGAAAACTCATGCACTCAGAATTCCATAAAGGACTTTTTAAGAGGGAGTCAGGCAGACAGGGCTGTTTGACTTCAGTGTGGCCAGAGATACAGATATAGCAAGCTCCATGGCCTGAAGGAAACAGAAACCTCATGGCTCAACTCCAAACAAGTAGATGTCATTAAAGAAGAATGCATTACTGAAAATCTGGACAGCTAAGGCCATGGTGGACTTTGGGAGTGGGATTTATTTGGCTAAGTATAGACATCTACATTATATTTATTTATATGTAAGCTAGTCACTCTGGACTCCCTTTATAGTCAAGAGATTTAGTCAGTGTGGGCAGTGGAGTTCAGGGCACAGTACGGTAAACAGTAAGTAGAAGTTTAAAAGAATATAGATAAATCATGCCCTAAAAAGTGCCTGTTTCTCTCCATTGTCTAAGTCTGAGATAACTAGTTGTGGACATACACAATTTTAAGACTGAGATGATTTTCATATCAAGGTCACCTGGCTGAGAGCAGAGCATCTAGTGACCCATCCCACAAGCAAGGCTCCTGTTCCAAGCCCTGGCACCACAGATGATATTTTTGTCTCACCCAAAGAAGGGGCTGTTGCTCTTTCACATTGAACTGGTGGGGGATATTGACCAGATCTGTGCGTAGTTTGAGTTCCTCAAACTAAATGCACTTTTCTCAGTTTGAGGTTTAAAGATAACTGAGGAATTACTGTTGGATTGCTGGCAGAAGGAAATTTGCATTTTGTTTTTCTGAAACACAAAGGTTTCTGCATGATCCTCTACCCTCCAGCCAAACTGGTTGGTTTTTGTTTTTGTTTTTTTTTGCTCAGTATGCCTTGAGCCACAGCACACTCAGGTCTGTATCTGAGCTCTAGAGTTCTGTTGTAAGAGACTCTCATCTTTGCTGTGTACTGAGTTCTATACCTGCAAGGGATATTCTTAGGGGCAGAAGAATGAATAATACCTGGGGATTTTTGTGTTATACTCTGAAACCTACTGGCATTGAGCTCCTGGAATCAAACCTGTACTCACTTCAGTCAGAAAATGCAGTTGGTATCATTTACTCCAACTTGAGCAAAGCATTTTATTCATTCTTCATGAGATGTTATGGAAAAAGAGCTGGGGATTACTAAGGAAAATTTTAAGTGACTGAGAGCAGTGGCAGCTCTATCACTTTTTGGCTGTTGTAGATTCCCCTCTGTACTTTGATGCCTGTGGCATATGAGCAGTGTACTTCCTTTTCTGTGATTGTCATGTTGGACTTGGCGCTGGCTGGGATTAAGTGGAGGAATTCCTGCTATAAAACACTTGCCAACTGCTTTGAAACGTCATTAAAAGTTATGAGCAATAGAAAAGTCCTAGTATTGCTGCAGAAGACCCTAGTGATATCTGACTTGTTAAAGCTGGAATGCAGTGTCAAAATGAATGGTTCAAACTAGAATGATAATGCAGAAAAGCGCTTCTGGAACAACCTAGAGGAAGGAAGATTCACCTTGTGTATGACACTTGGCTTTTATATGTGAATACAAAAAGAAAAAAAGGGAGGGACTGGTAGTGGCTGCCTTTTAGGTGGAGGGGAGGAAAAGTATCAACAGATAGGCTGAATGACAATGTTGGCAAAAGAACAAACAGGGAAAAGGTGCCTGAATAAAATGTCAGAGAAGACTCCAAGGAGAGGGAAAAGAGATTTCATTTTTGAAATGGTGTCTTCATTGGTTCTGAAATGCATTACATGATACAGACCTGTAACCTGGACTTACTGTTGCTGCCAGCTGAGTGACCCCAGACCCCATCAAGCACTACAGTGGTTTTCGTAAGATATCTTAAAGCTCTTCAGGGTAAATGTCTGAACAAGCCATTTAAAGTAGAAATATGTTGAAGGTAAAACAGAATTTATGCCAGTTAAAATTTAAACAAAACAATATATTGAGGGAATTCTATTAGGAATTTTCTCGTCTTTATCATCAACAATAAAATTTACAAAATAAAGAAAAAAAGCCGAATAGCTTGTAGTTTCCTGAAGTGAGAGATCAGTCTGCAACAGATACATCCTCTAATTAGTATGTGGTTATATGTACAGAGAGTTGGGTTGTCGTTAGTCTCAACATGTGTCTTGATCTGCAGTCACCTAATGTTTGAAGGTCACCTCAGAGTCAGTGGGCTTTAGGTGAATCTACCTCCTCCTGGGTACCCTGAACTTGGCCCTAGGAGTTCCCAGGTTGTCTTCTCTGGACTGATCTGGGATTTCTTACGCATGTTATTATTGAGAGGACTGAGTTGCCAATGGGACCACATCAACATGTGTTACTGCATTACTGGCTGGCTTGTTGCCTGGATAGTTACTTATTGGCAGAGCCTGTGCCCACAGCCTTACCATACTATGCTGCTTTTAACTAGTTAGCACTGAATCAAGCCGCTGGGTAAAAAGCTCCTCAGCCTTGACACAAACAAGCAAAGAGAGTGTGCATTCTTAACCCATCACAAACTAGCTGAAGTATTTGATGAGAACATGATAAAATCTTGCATGATCACCCTCCCTCTCCACATGCAGTGGCAATAGGAATTATGAAGCTCGTGTGGACCAGTGTCTTTACTAATAGTGACCAGTAACAGGATCATGGATTGGTTGGGGTTGAAAGGGACCTCTCGAGTTCATCTTTTCCAACTCCCCTGCTCAAGCAGGGCTACCTAGAGCTGGTTATCCAGGACCTTGTCCAGAT